TTGGAGGAGCAGTGCCGGCAAATTGAGAATGCAGCGGACATTGTCGACGACCTACGGGCTGCCAACCGAGCCGTGCCCAGGGAGAGGCGGAATCCACCGGGCAAGTCGTCGCCAACCCCCCTAAGACCGAGCGGAGCTCCCGCGGGAGGGCGCCGCCCCCTACCATCTTACAGCGGCCTAGCGGCCAGGGAGGCGCCCTCCTGCTCCTATTATCGAGCATCACCGGGTGACGTTGTGCCCGAAGTTATTGGGTAAGCCGGTCCCGGCTAAGCGAACCATCGCCAAGGAGCGCCGCTGATGCTACTCGTGCTTGGAAAGGCACCTACAACGAGACTGCCCGCACCAGCGGCCCTGTCCGCACTGCCAGAGCAACCACCATGCCGTTTTGTGCCTGGGTGCGAACGGCGCTTCCTCTCGGGGCTCTGCCGGGCCCTCAACTGCCAACTCTCACTCAGCCACGCCCTCTGTCGGGCGACGCTCGGCGCTCCCCTGCAGGCCACCGTGCCCCGGGTTTGAAGGGAGTCCTTCGGGTTCATAACGCTGTGTGGCTTCCACTTGGTTGGTGGGAAGACTAGGGCTCCCCTGGAGCTCTGAATGACGTCTAACGTATCGGAGGTGCCGAACCTCCTGCTCTTAGGGGAGAAACTGAGTTGTTGTTTGGCCCTGCCAGCGAACACCTTCACATTCTAGTTAAAGTAAATGTCCTCGATGACTTTGTAGGTTTTCTCCCTAACGCCCATATAAATGACAGCGCGGTACGTTGTGCGTCGGGTTTGAGACCGGCAGACCCTCAATGATCCCAAACTGGGCTTATAGATTTGTTGCTGGGGGCCGACGCGCTGGGTTTCATTTTGTTAGGCGAGATACGAGCCCTACAGCCCGATGGCTTGTCAGCCATGTCCACTGTATTTGGGCACAGTTTCTTTGGACCGGTTCTGTGGTCTCCACCTCCTCAGACGGCCGACCCGCTCTGTGTGGTGGGCGCGTCCCTTTCGGACGTCTTTCTGGGAAATTGAGGAGCCACCACACGCGTCTCAAGTCAACCCTCTGGACCGTGAGTGCGAGTTGTTCTACCAGAACAATACCGGCCGTCGTGTCGACGGTCGTTTTGTCACTCGCTTACCCTTTCTTGACTCACGGCCCTCTTTGGGCCAATCTCGTACCCTGGCCGAAAAGAGGTTGCTTTCCATGAAGCGCCGTATGCGGCGCGACCCAGCCTTTCGCGACAAATATGTCGAGTTCATGCGCGAGTATCAAGAGCTGGATCACATGTCATAGTCCAACTTCGACTGACGGTCACAGGAGCTACTTCTTCCCTCACCATACGGTCTTGAGGACCCCTGGGAGTAAGATTCGGGTAGTTGTTGACGGCTCCGCCCCCTCGTCAAATGGTGTGTTCCTGAACCAGTGACACTCCACTCTGGTCCTAAATTGGTCAAGGACATATCCGACATTTTGACCCACTTCCGTTGGCACCAAGTGGTTTTGTAGCCGACATTCGGTTGATGTTATTTGTTGTGTATTTGATATCAGCTGATATTGTGGCACTAGAAGCCCAGCGATCCGATACAGGTGTTTGAGCTGAACACCACCACCTATGGACTCCGGTCCAGCCCGTATATCGCCATGCGAACCTTCCTCGAACTCACTGAGAGAGAGCGTCTAAAATACGCTCGGGGGGCTTCTATTTTGGAGACTTCGGTCTACATGGACGACATTTGCACGGGCGCCTCCACCATCGAGGAGGCTCTTGTATTGCGAAACAAATTGATTGCCATCCTGAAATCCGGAGGTTACGAGTTGCGCAAATGGTTGTCGAACTCCCCTCATATTTTGAAGGACCTCCCAGGAGAGGATCAATAAGACCCTCATCTATTCGAGCACCCTGAAAATCTTAATTTGTTGACTGTGCTGGGCATTCAATATCAGGCTGTTCAGGATACTTTCACGTATTGAGTCAAACGCGATCCCCCTCCTAAATCATGGACCAAGCGCTCCGTGCTGTCTACAGTAGCCCGCACCTTCGATCCTAATGGATGGATCACTCCGGTAATTTTTTTGGCTAAGTGCTTTCTTCAAAAGCTCTGGATATACGGGATGTGTTGGGACGATCCTATAAGCGGTGCTCTCTTGCGAGAGTGGCACTCTATTGTGTCCTCTCTTCCGGACATCAATCGGGTCTCCATGCCAAGGTGCTTCCTCCCTCCATGGAAATGCAGGGCTACCCTACATGTATTGGCTATGCTGCTGTCGTATATTTGCGGACTGTGAGCTCTTCTGGCCATACTTCCGTCCATCTCGTACTTGGTCGGACAGTGAGATAGTACTTTGTTGGCTCAGAGCTGCACCTCACAATCTTGAGGTCTTTGTGGCGAACCGCGTGTCTCAAATCCAGAATTCTGGCACGTCTCTAAACTGGAGACATGTCCCAGGGGAGTTGAATCCCGCAGACTGCGCGATTAGACACAGAGATGCGCTTTTCGCGGCTGTGAAGCCCCCTTTTTGGTTGACCACCCGCTGTGGTCAGGTCCCAGTTGGTTAACTGAGTCTCAGTCATTCTGGCCCCAGAATAAATACTCCGAACCGATTGAATTGCCTGTCCTACGAGCCCGAGTAGGAGTGTAGGAGTGGGCAAGGATAAGCCCACTCAGGATTTCTCCCTGCTAGAACGGTACAGCTCTCTCGATAAGCTCTTAGAAGTGATAGCTTGGTTGCGTCGATTTGTCCGCAATTCGAGAGACCCGTCCAACCGAATCTCTGATTCCGTTTTGTACCCTAGCGAGCATCGCGAAGCCTTGATGCATTGGACCCGTATGGTCCAAGCGGAGCATTTTGAGCCCGTGATTGAAACCTTGAAGCGGGGCTCCGTTGTCAAGAGCGCTCTGACCCGCCTGAACCTCTTCCTGGACGACGCTGGGATGCTGCGCGTTGGCGGACGTTTGAAAAATTCTCAACTGCCGTATGGGGCTCGACACCCGTTACTGCTCCCTAAGGACGGCGCCTTTGTTCGGTTGCTGGTAACTCACCATCATGTTCAGAATACCCACGCTGGGTGTAACGCTGTATAAGCAAGTGGGAGTTTTGGATTTTGACTGGCCGATGCACCATTCGGAGCGTCCTCTTTAAGTGCATACCTTGTTATAAACTGAAGGCCACCATATCGCAGTCGATGATGGGTGACTTATCACCCGACCGTGTCAGGGCCATCCGACCATTCGCTGGAGTCGGAACCGACTTTGCTGACTCCTTCCTCGTCAAGTCCTCCAACCTTCGTTTTCGTGTGCCTCGCCACTAAGGCCGTTCACTTAGAACTTGTAAGTGCCGTCAGCACTGAAGCCTTTGTGGCCACGCTGGGCCGCTTCGTATCGCGTCGCGGTTTGCCGGACCTAATCCGGTCTGATTGCAGAACGAATTATAAGGGCATGGATAGATATTTGAAAGAGGTCGGCGAATTTCTGTCCAGCAACAGGACTTATTTAGGTACTGCGATGTCCAAGAAGGGCATCCAGTGGAAATTCGAACCTCCGGCTTGCCCACACTGGGGCGGTATTTTTGAGGCGGTGGTTAAGGTTGTAAAAACGAATCTCCGTCGCGTTATTGGCGAGACTATTTTGACATTTGAGGAGCTTGCCATTGTATTCTATAAAATTGAGGCGGTACTCAACTCTCGGCCCCTCTGTCTCCTCTCGTCCGATCCGAATGATTTGTAGGTTCTAACCCCGGGCCACTTCCTGATTGGCCAGCCGCTTAGCGCCCTGCCCGAGTACTTGTTCAGGGAAATAAACTCTTCGCGGTTGAGCAGATTTGACCTGCTGCAACAAATGACTCAGAGTTTTTGGCACCGATGGTCTCTGGAGTACTTACATCTTTTGCAGCAGCGCGTTAAGTGTTCTGACAAGGCGGATCCTCCTCGGGTTGGAGACCTAGTGTTTGTGTGAATTTTGCTTGTCCGGTGGATTACATCGGTGACGTCAGGTTACATTACACACCTTCTTACACCACTCACACCTACCATTTACTTGCCCCTGACGGTACCTTGTGGTCGACCCTACCTCCGGAACTCGGTAAGTTTGTGTTTGCTTATACAGCCATTACATAACAATTATCCATAGGCTATTTGGGCCCGAACCCTCTGGTTGCCCGTCGAGTTGGGTTACTGATGGTGCCTAGCCCCGTCGACTTCTGTCGGGGCAACTGAGTGCCGTAACAAAATTATTTAAAATTTGGCTTTATAGTTAGCCCCCGCCCTCCAGTTTATAATTTCTTTCGTAATTATTGGTATTTTTGTATTCATGAATGTCTGTTCTTTTATAAAATACGATTGTTCTATCAAAATATATTTATTTTTGGTTTAACTAAATTTTTTATTCAGCTACATAATTATACAAACGTACCTACCTGTACTGCGCATGCGTCAATGCTGCGGTTCCATTGAAAATCAATAAGTCTCAATACCTAAAGCAATTTACATTTTTTTTTTTTTAATAATTAAATACGTATTTTTTTATTAATTAAAAAACAAAAATCTCTTAATAGTGATAAAATGATAAACATAAATTACACTTTCTTTTTTATCGGTATAATTTGTTTTAAACTTCTTTAAACCTTTTATATTTGTAATGGAACCGCTTCAAACGTAGCATTGACGCATGCTCAGTACGTATCGGTAAGTTAGTTTAAATTTGATTTTAAAGTTGGTACTGGACAGATAAAAAAATTATTTAATTTGTTTTTGACTAAGAAATCGAAAAGTATTCAGGAGAGTTGCCTTGAGTATTCATTAGCCGTAACCAAAGTAATTCTAAGTATTAAAATATATGAATGAAAATCTGGTAAAATACCTTAAGAAAAACAAAATATTTTCTAATGCTCGTATTTATTAAACAATTACAATGTAAAGATGTAGATGTCCAACTAACCGTAATGTATGCTCCTGATTGCAGAGGATACATTACATGTTATGTACGTATGTATAAAATTCATTAATAGCAAGTAGGGCATTAACTGCCACGTCGTCCAACCTTAATAAAGTATTGTCTTCGAGTAAGACTACATGGTTTACAAATACCGGAATGTCCGCATCCATATCCACCTTGGTTGACTATAACAGTTGGATTTTGATCGCCGTATGGTGCGGAGAACGAAGATGATCCATGATTACCGAGCTTGAATGTTTCTGAGACGGCAGCAGCGTTCGATGTTGCAAATAATCCGGGGCCGTTTTCACTGTGGTAGACATTCTGTCCTCCTTGGCCGAGTTTTGAACCAGGCTTGGATCCACCGTAGCTTGTACCATCGTTGCTTGTAGCGGCTGCGACTGCGGTAGCAGCACCGAGTCCATATGGACCTGAGCTTTGGCTTTCAATAGCGGTGCCTGAAGCTGTGGCAGCAGGTCTTGCACCTGATCCTGATCCTGAACCTCCGTTACGACCGCCATATGGTGCGTACAATGGAGATGATCCAAAATTACCGAGGCTGTATGTTTCTGAGATGGAATCGTAGTAATTAGGCAAATAGCTAGAGCCCGCGTCTGCGTTTGATGCTGCAAATGATCCAGGTCCTTCCTGGGCGAATTCGGAACCAGGCCCGGATGCACCGAAGCCTGAACCACCGTTGCTTGTTGTGGCTGCGGCTGCGGCAGCAGCACCGAGTCCATATGGTCCTGAGCTTTGGCTTTCAATAGCAGTGCCTGAAGCTGTGGCAGTAGGTCTTCAACCTGATCCTGACCCTGAATCAGGCTTCGATCCAACGAAGCCTGTGCCATCGTTGCTTGTAGCGGCTGCGGCAGCGGTAGCAGCACTGAGTCCATTTGGCCCTGAGCTTTGGCTTCGAGTAGCGGTGCCTGAAGGAGTGGCAGGAGATCTTGCACCTGATCCTGATCCTGAACCTCCGTTACGACCGCCGTATGGGGCGTACAATGGAGATGATCCAAAATTACCGAGGCTGTATGTTTCTGCGATGGAATCCAAGTAATTAGGCAAATAGCTAGAGCCCGCGTCTGCGTTTGATGCTGCAAATGATCCAGGTCCTTCCTGGGCGAGTTTTGAACCAGGCCCGGATGCACCGAAGCCTGTACCACCGTTGCTTGTAGTGGCTGCGGCTGCGGCAACAGCACCGATTCCATATGGTCCTGAGCTTTGGCTTTCAATAGCAGTGCCTAAAGCTGTAGCAGCAGGTCTTGCACCTGATCCTGATCCTGAATCAGGCTTCGATCCAACGAAGCCTGTGCCATCGTTGCTTGTAGCGGCTGCGGCAGCGGTAGCAGCACTGAGTCCATTTGGCCCTGAGCTTTGGCTTCGAGTAGCGGTGCCTGAAGGAGTGGCAGGAGATCTTGCACCTGATCCTGATCCTGAACCTCCGTTACGACCGCCGTACGGTGCGTACAATGGAGATGATCCGAAATTACCGAGGCTGTATGTTTCTGAGATGGAATCCAAGTAATTAGGCAAATAGCTAGAGCCCGCGTCTGCGTTTGATGCTGCAAATGATCCAGGTCCTTCCTGGGCGAGTTTTGAACCAGGCCCGGATGCACCGAAGCCTGTACCACCGTTGCTTGTAGTGGCTGCGGCTGCGGCAGCAGCACCGAGTGCATATGGTTCTGAGCTTTGGCTTTCAATAGCGGTGCCTAAAGCTGTGGCAGCAGGTCTTGCACCTGATCCTGATCCTGAATCAGGCTTCGATCCAACGAAGCCTGTGCCATCGTTGCTTGTAGCGGCTGCGGCAGCGGTAGCAGCACTGAGTCCATTTGGCCCTGAGCTTTGGCTTCGAGTAGCGGTGCCTGAAGCAGTGGCAGGAGATCTTGCACCTGATCCTGATCCTGAACCTCCGTTACGACCGCCGTATGTGCGGGTGCGTACAACGGAGATGATCCAAAATTACCGAGGCTGTATGTTTCTGAGATGGAATCCAAGTAATTAGGCAAATAGCTAGAGCCCGCGTCTGCGTTTGATGCTGCAAATGATCCAGGTCCTTCCTGGGCGAGTTTTGAACCAGGCCCGGATGCACCGAAGCCTGTACCACCGTTGCGTGTAGTGGCTGCGGCTGCGGCAGCAGCACCGAGTCCATATGGTCCTGAGCTTTGGCTTTCAACAGCAGTGCCTGAAGCTGTGGCAGCAGGTCCTGCACCTGATCCTGATCCTGAATCAGGCTTAGATCCAACGAAGCCTGTGCCATCGTTGCTTGTAGCGGCTGCGGCAGCGGTAGCAGCACTGAGTCCATTTGGCCCTGAGCTTTGGCTTCGAGTAGCGGTGCCTGAAGGTGTGGCAGGAGATCTTGCACCTGATCCTGATCCTGAACCTCCGTTACGACCGCCGTACGGTGCGTACAATGGAGATGATCCAAAATTACCGAGGCTGTATGTTTCTGCGATGGAATCCAAGTAATTAGGCAAATAGCTAGAGCCCGCGTCTGCGTTTGATGCTGCAAATGATCCAGGTCCTTCCTGGGCGAGTTCGGAACCAGGCCCGGATGCACCGAAGCCTGTACCACCGTTGCTTGTAGTGGCTGCGGCTGCGGCAGCAGCACCGAGTCCATATGGTTCTGAGCTTTGGCTTTCAGTAGCGGTGCCTGAAGCTGTGGCAGCAGGTCTTGCACCTGATCCTGATCCTGAATCAGGCTTCGATCCAACGAAGCCTGTACCATCGTTGCTTGTAGCGGCTGCGGCAGCGGTAGCAGCACTGAGTCCATTTGGCCCTGAGCTTTGGCTTCGAGTAGCGGTGCCTGAAGGAGTGGCAGGAGATCTTGCACCTGATCCTGATCCTGAACCTCCGTTACGACCACCGTATGGTGCGTACAATGGAGATGATCCAAAATTACCGAGGCTGTATGTTTCTGCGATGGAATCCAAGTAATTAGGCAAATAGCTAGAGCCCGCGTCTGCGTTTGATGCTGCAAATGATCCAGGTCCTTCCTGGGCGAGTTCGGAACCAGGCCCGGATGCACCGAAGCCTGTACCACCGTTTCTTGTAGTGGCTGCGGCTGCGGCAGCAGCACCGAGTCCATATGGTCCTGAGCTTTGGCTTTCAATAGCAGTGCCTGAAGCTGTGGCAGCAGGTCTTGCACCTGATCCTGATCCTGAATCAGGCTTCGATCCAACGAAACCTGTGCCATCGTTGCTTGTGGCAGCTGCGGCATCGGCAGCAGCACTGAGTCCATTTGGCCCTGAGATTTGGCTTCGAGTAGCGGTGCCTGAAGGTGTGGCAGGAGATCTTGCACCCGATCCTGATCCTGAACCTCCGTTACGACCGCCGTACGGTGCGTACAATGGAGATGATCCAAAATTACCGAGGCTGTATGTTTCTGCGATGGAATCCAAGTAATTAGGCAAATAGCTAGAGCCCGCGTCTGCGTTTGATGCTGCAAATGATCCAGGTCCTTCCTGGGCGAGTTCGGAACCAGGCCCGGATGCACCGAAGCCTGTACCACCGTTGCTTGTAGTGGCTGCGGCTGCGGCAGCAGCACCGAGTCCATATGGTCCTGAGCTTTGGCTTTCAATAGCGGTGCCTGAAGCTGTGGCAGCAGGTCTTTCACCTGATCCTGATCCTGAATCAGGCTTCGATCCAACGAAGCCTGTACCATCGTTGCTTGTAGCGGCTGCGGCAGCGGTAGCAGCACTGAGTCCATTTGGCCCTGAGCTTTGGCTTCGAGTAGCGGTGCCTGAAGCAGTGGCAGGAGATCTTGCACCTGATCCTGATCCTGAACCTCCGTTACGACCGCCGTATGGTGCGTACAATGGAGATGATCCAAAATTACCGAGGCTGTATGTTTCTGCGATGGAATCCAAGTAATTAGGCAAATAGCTAGAGCCCGCGTCTGCGTTTGATGATGCAAATGATCCAGGTCCTTCCTGGGCGAGTTCGGAACCAGGCCCGGATGCACCGAAGCCTGTACCACCGTTTCTTGTAGTGGCTGCGGCTGCGGCAGCAGCACCGAGTCCATATGGTCTCGAGCTTTGGCTTTCAATAGCGGTGCCTGAAGCTGTAGCAGCAGGTCTTGCACCTGAACCTGATCCTGAATCAGGCTTCGATCCAACGAAGCCTGTGCCATCGTTGCTTGTAGCGGCTGCGGCAGCGGTAGCAGCACTGAGTCCATTTGGCCCTGAGCTTTGGCTTCGAGTAGCGGTGCCTGAAGGTGTGGCAGGAGATCTTGCACCTGATCCTGATCCTGAACCTCCGTTACGACCGCCGTACGGTGCGTACAATGGAGATGATCCAAAATTACCAAGGCTGTATGTTTCTGCGATGGAATCCAAGTAATTAGGCAAATAGCTAGAGCCCGCGTCTGCGTTTGATGCTGCAAATGATCCAGGTCCTTCCTGGGCGAGTTCGGAACCAGGCCCGGATGCACCGAAGCCTGTACCACCGTTGCTTGTAGTGGCTGCGGCTGCGGCAGCAGCACCGAGTCCATATGGTCCTGAGCTTTGGCTTTCAATAGCGGTGCCTAAAGCTGTAGCAGGAGGTTTTGCACCTGATCCTGATCCTGAATCAGGCTTAGATCCAACGAAGCCTGTACCATCGTTGCTTGTAGCGGCTGCGGCAGCGGTAGCAGCACTGAGTCCATTTGGCCCTAAGCTTTGGCTTCGAGTAGCGGTGCCTGAAGGTATGGCAGGAGATCTTGCACCTGATCCTGATCCTGAACCTCCGTTACGACCGCCGTACGGTGCGTACAATGGAGATGATCCAAAATTACCGAGGCTGTATGTTTCTGCGATGGAATCCAAGTAATTAGGCAAATAGATAGAGCCCGCGTCTGCGTTTGATGCTGCAAATGATCCAGGTCCTTCCTGGGCGAGTTCGGAACCAGGCCCGGATGCACCGAAGCCTGTACCACCGTTGCTTGTAGTGGCTGCGGCTGCGGCAGCAGCACCGAGTCCATATGGTCCTGAGCTTTGGCTTTCAATAGCGGTGCCTGAAGCTGTGGCAGCAGGTCTTGCACCTGATCCTGATCCTGAATCAGGCTTCGATCCAACGAAGCCTGTGCCATCGTTGCTTGTAGCGGCTGCGGCAGCGGTAGCAGCACTGAGTCCATTTGGCCCTGAGCTTTGGCTTCGAGTAGCGGTGCCTGAAGGAGTGGCAGGAGATCTTGCACCTGATCCTGATCCTGAACCTCCGTTACGACCGCCGTACGGTGCGTACAATGGAGATGATCCAAAATTACCGAGGCTGTATGTTTCTGAGATGGAATCCAAGTAATTAGGCAAATAGCTAGAGCCCGCGTCTGCGTTTGATGCTGCAAATGATCCAGGTCCTTCCTGGGCGAGTTTGGAACCAGGCCCGGATGCACCGAAGCCTGTACCACCGTTGCTTGTAGTGGCTGCGGCTGCGGCAACAGCACTGAGTCCATATGGTCCTGAGCTTTGGCTTTCAATAGCAGTGCCTGAAGCTGTAGCAGCAGGTCTTGCACCTGATCCTGATCCTGAATCAGGCTTCGATCCAACGAAGCCTGTGCCATCGTTGCTTGTAGCGGCTGCGGCAGCGGTAGCAGCACTGAGTCCATTTGGCCCTGAGCTTTGGCTTCGAGTAGCGGTGCCTGAAGGTGTGGCAGGAGATCTTGCACCTGATCCTGATCCTGAACCTCCGTTACGACCGCCGTACGGTGCGTACAATGGAGATGATCCAAAATTACCAAGGCTGTATGTTTCTGCGATGGAATCCAAGTAATTAGGCAAATAGCTAGAGCCCGCGTCTGTGTTTGATGCTGCAAATGATCCAGGTCCTTCCTGGGCGAGTTCGGAACCAGGCCCGAATGCACCGAAGCCTGTACCACCGTTGCTTGTAGTGGCTGCGGCTGCGGCAGCAGCACCGAGTCCATATGGTCCTGAGCTTTGGCTTTCAATAGCGGTGCCTGAAGCTGTAGCAGGAGGTTTTGCACCTGATCCTGATCCTGAATCAGGCTTAGATCCAACGAAGCCTGTACCATCGTTGCTTGTAGCGGCTGCGGCAGCGGTAGCAGCACTGAGTCCATTTGGCCCTGAGCTTTGGCTTCGAGTAGCGGTGCCTGAAGCAGTGGCAGGAGATCTTGCACCTGATCCTGATCCTGAACCTCCGTTACGACCGCCGTACGGTGCGTACAATGGAGATGATCCAAAATTACCGAGGCTGTATGTTTCTGCGATGGAATCCAAGTAATTAGGCAAATAGCTAGAGCCCGCGTCTGCGTTTGATGCTGCAAATGATCCAGGTCCTTCCTGGGCGAGTTCGGAATCAGGCCCGGAGGCACCGAAGCCTGTACCACCGTTTCTTGTAGTGGCTGCGGCTGCGGCAGCAGCACTGAGTCCATATGGTCTTGAGCTTTGGCTTTCAATAGCGGTGCCTGAAGCTGTGGCAGCAGGTCTTGCACCTGACCCTGATCCTGAATCAGGCTTCGATCCAACGAAACCTGTGCCATCGTAGCTTGTGGCAGCTGCGGCAGCGGTAGCAGTACTGAGTCCATTTGGCCCTGAGCTTTGGCTTCGAGTAGCGGTGCCTGAAGGTGTGGCAGGAGATCTTGCACCTGATCCTGATCCTGAACCTCCGTTACGACCGCCGTACGGTGCGTACAATGGAGATGATCCAAAATTACCGAGGCTGTATGTTTCTGCGATGGAATCCAAGTAATTAGGCAAATAGCTAGAGCCCGCGTCTGCGTTTGATGCTGCAAATGATCCAGGTCCTTCCTGGGCGAGTTCGGAACCAGGCCCGGATGCACCGAAGCCTGTACCACCGTTGCTTGTAGTGGCTGCGGCTGCGGCAGCAGCACCGAGTCCATATGGTCCTGAGCTTTGGCTTTCAATAGCGGTGCCTGAAGCTGTGGCAGCAGGTCTTGCACCTGATCCTGATCCTGAATCAGGCTTCGATCCAACGAAGCCTGTGCCATCGTTGCTTGTAGCGGCTGCGGCAGCGGTAGCAGCACTGAGTCCATTTGGCCCTGAGCTTTGGCTTCGAGTAGCAGTGCCTGAAGGAGTGGCAGGAGATCTTGCACCTGATCCTGATCCTGAACCTCCGTTACGACCGCCGTACGGTGCGTACAATGGAGATGATCCAAAATTACCGAGGCTGTATGTTTCTGAGATGGAATCCAAGTAATTAGGCAAATAGCTAGAGCCCGCGTCTGCGTTTGATGCTGCAAATGATCCAGGTCCTTCCTGGGCGAGTTCGGAATCAGGCCCGGATGCACCGAAGCCTGTACCACCGTTTCTTGTAGTGGCTGCGGCTGCGGCAGCAGCACTGAGTCCATATGGTCTTGAGCTTTGGCTTTCAATAGCGGTGCCTGAAGCTGTGGCAGCAGGTCTTGCACCTGATCCTGATCCTGAATCAGGCTTCGATCCAACGAAGCCTATGCCATCGTTGCTTGTGGCGGCTGCGGCAGCGGTAGCAGCACTGAGTCCATTTGGCCCTGAGCTTTGGCTTCGAGTAGCGGTGCCTGAAGGTGTGGCAGGAGATCTTGCACCTGATCCTGATCCTGAACCTCCGTTACGACCGCCGTATGGTGCGTACAATGGAGATGATCCAAAATTACCGAGGCTGTATGTTTCTGAGATGGAATCCAAGTAATTAGGCAAATAGCTAGAGCCCGCGTCTGCGTTTGATGCTGCAAATGATCCAGGTCCTTCCTGGGCGAGTTTTGAACCAGGCCCGGATGCACCGAAGCCTGTACCACCGTTGCTTGTAGTGGCTGCGGCTGCGGCAACAGCACTGAGTCCATATGGTCCTGAGCTTTGGCTTTCAATAGCAGTGCCTGAAGCTGTAGCAGCAGGTCTTGCACCTGATCCTGATCCTGAATCAGGCTTCGATCCAACGAAGCCTGTGCCATCGTTGCTTGTAGCGGCTGCGGCAGCGGTAGCAGCACTGAGTCCATTTGGCCCTGAGCTTTGGCTTCGAGTAGCGGTGCCTGAAGGTGTGGCAGGAGATCTTGCACCTGATCCTGATCCTGAACCTCCGTTACGACCGCCGTACGGTGCGTACAATGGAGATGATCCAAAATTACCGAGGCTGTATGTTTCTGCGATGGAATCCAAGTAATTAGGCAAATAGCTAGAGCCCGCGTCTGCGTTTGATGCTGCAAATGATCCAGGTCCTTCCTGGGCGAGTTCGGAACCAGGCCTGGATGTACCGAAGCCTGTACCACCGTTGCTTGTAGTGGCTGCGGCTGCGGCAGAAGCACCGAGTCCATATGGTCCTGAGCTTTGGCTTTCAATAGCGGTGCCTGAAGCTGTGGCAGCAGGTCTTGCACCTGATCCTGATCCTGAATCAGGCTTCGATCCAACGAAGCCTGTGCCATCGTTGCTTGTAGCGGCTGCGGCAGCGGTAGCAGCACTGAATCCATTTGGCCCTGAGCTTTGGCTTCCAGTATTGGTGCCTGAAGGTGTGGCAGGAGATCTTGCACCTGATCCTGATCCTGAACCTCCGTTACGACCGCCGTATGGTGCGTACAATGGAGATGATCCAAAATTACCGAGGCTGTATGTTTCTGAGATGGAATCCAAGTAATTAGGCAAATAGCTAGAGCCCGCGTCTGCGTTTGATGCTGCAAATGATCCAGGTCCTTCCTGGGCGAGTTTTGAACCAGGCCCGGATGCACCGAAGCCTGTACCATCGTTGCTTGTAGTGGCTGCGGCTGCGGCAGCAGCACCGAGTCCATATGGTCCTGAGCTTTGGCTTTCAATAGCGGTGTCTAAAGCTGTGGCAGCAGGTCTTGCACCTGATCCTGATCCTGAATCAGGCTTCGATCCAACGAAGCCTGTGCCATCGTTGCTTGTAGCGGCTGCGGCAGCGGTAGCAGCACTGAGTCCATTTGGCCCTGAGCCTTTGCTTCGAGTAGCGGTGCCTGAAGGTGTGGCAGGAGATATTGCACCTGATCCTGATCCTGAACCTCCGTTACGACCGCCGTATGGTGCGTACAATGGAGATGATCCAAAATTACCGAGCCTGTATGTTTCTGGGATGGAATCGTAGTAATAAGGCAAATAGCTAGAGCCCGCGTCTGCGTTTGATGCTGCAAATAAACCAGGTTCGTTTTCATTGAGGATGACATACTGTCCTTCTTGGGCGAGTTTCGAACCAGGCCCGGATCCACCGAAGCCTGTACCATCGTTGCTTGTAGCGGCTTCGGCTGCGGTAGCAGCACCGAGTCCATATGGTCCTGAGCGTTCTCCAAAGCGTTCCAATACCATCCCATCCCCCTTCCTTTGATCCACCGAAGCCGACTTCTTGTGCGGCAGGTAGTCCATATGTTCCTGAGCTTTGGCTTCCAATAGCTGTGCCGGAAGCAGTGGTAACTGATGTTGCACCTGATTCCGGTCCCGAATCGGACGCTGATGGTTGAGACACTGCCGTTTCGATAACATCCGTCTCACTGATCGTCTCTTCTCCTTCGGCATTTGTTGTAATGACTATAGTTCTAATTTGTTTTTCACCAAGTGCATTATGTTTAGTGCCCGATTTATCTACAAATTGTTTCTCTGTAGTTTGACGTTCAACTAATGTGCCATTGTTGTTAATAATTTCATCCGATAGGGTTTCTTTAATTTCTTCATAGTTTTTGTGGTCCGATAGAAAATTTTCCATTTCATCGTCTAAAACGTCTGCGGCTACACACTGTTTAAAAATTAAATAAAATAATTAATCGTTATCTGGCTTGCCTGTCACTTGATTTATTTTTTTATAAAATATGTTTTATTCTTGAATTTTATTATGTTTATACGTGATACTTATTTTAAATAGGGTCACTAGAGGCAAGTGAGACAGTGGGGTTAGTGTAACAAATGCAAACTATGCGGCCTTAACACGGTTTTTGGTTTAATTCTATCTATTAATCAACACAGGATATTTTACGCTATTGACTAAACTGACAGTTGAGTATAAAGCTTGCACTATTTTATCAACTGACGTTATTTTTAAAAACTTTTCAACTGGCGACAGACAGCGCAATTGTAAGAGGTGAAGTTAATAAGTGTTTTGATATGTTTTGTTATTAGTTATTTACCAGATACAAGGTCAGTGATACTTATGGAGTAATATTTTTCTGCGACCCGAAATTCACTATTCTTTGAAATACGCATACAGTTACACTTACCTCATATAATATCTACCATTGGGGTAAGTGTGACAGTGTCACGTTTATCATTTTTATGTTATATATGATTATATGTTAAATATTATGATTATATATTAACGTTCTGAATTAAATTTTATTTTGCACTTGGCATTGCTTTTATTATACTTACAAAACATCCAGAGCTAGAGTGATTTACTACATCTATTTAAAGGCACATCACTATATCGGTTAAAAACTCTCACACTTGCTCCATATTGGGGAAAATTCATGGTTACACAAAAATGGACGTTCAAATCGTTTCCATAGTTCATAAAGTATATCGACGTTAGTGTCATCTCATCAATTTTGTTAAAAACCACAGATAATAATTAAGTAACTACAAAAAGTAGCGTACTGTCACACTTGCCCCATTGATGGGTAAGTGTGACAGTCTTCCACCTCAATTAGTTTTAATTACCTCAAATTACAAAATGCTACTTGTAGGTACCAAAATACTTGATAAAACATACAACCACTTAATAATTGATGTTATGAAACTGAATTCTCTATATTAAATCCTTACAGAGTAGAAGTATTTAAATGTTATAAATTAAGTGTTGTAAATTATAGTTTTAATTAATTTATGTCACACTTGCCCCAGGTGACCTTATGAGAAGCACTTGGTTACACAATGATAAAATAGTCCATTTACCCAGCCATTACAGCCTATGAAAGTACATTGCTAAATATCTCCTCGAAACCCACCCCATAGATTACCTCCTAGGCATTTTGCCATAGTTGCCACGCTTGCTACGCGGAATTGCAATATACTAATTCATTGAAACAGTTTGAAATGTGTAACGAGTAATATTATATTAATAACTGCATCTTATTATTGATATTTCGCAATGTGAAATATTAAATTAACTCAAATCGGAGTCCTATATGAACTAAAAAGAATGCAGGTAATATTTCCCAACTTGACACTATAGTACAAGTGTATAGCGAACTTTTTAGTAACACAAGATAAAGTTTAATATAGGGTACGATTAATGAAGCAAAAAGAATTTTATGTAAATTAATAAAGTTATTATTATATGTGAATAAACTGAATTAACCATATCGGAAAATTATAAACTCACCTGCAATGCACAACAAAGGATCACAAAGGTTGTGACTCTCATTTTGTTGAGAGTTAGAACCGGACTGATACTGCTGCTCAATTTTGAAGCCTTTTTATACCCATCAAATCTAATAGTTGACGTACGTAAAGCTGTTATGTGAATAGAATAATTAAAGTAGTTCAAATATTGACAAAAGTAACAAATACCAAAAGTATTTATTTTAAAACAATGCTGAAGTTACCTTATGATTTCGAACAATATTTTTAATTTTCGCTTGATGATGGTATTGTATTCAAGTAACATATACATACATAAACACTCACGCCTGTCACCCAGAGGGATGGGCAGAGACTACAGACTTCCATTTAGCACGCTCCTGACATACCTTTCTCGCCACCTCCACATCCATATACCTACGCATACATGCTCGTCGGTTAAGGGTGCTCTCAATTCGGCCAATTTTCAATATATCGCCAATTTGGTCGATAAACTTTTGCCTAGGACGTCCATTTCCAACCCTTTCGCTCACTTCTGCAACTTGCACTGCACTTCTGAACTTTTTGTCTTGTTTTATCACACTTTCCGCATTTCCTACTACATTTATACTACTCACGTGCTTCTTTTACCACATTCAACTTTCACTAACATACGTTAAAATAGGGACAAACACGGCACTGTGACTGGCCATATGTACCTTTTTTGACACACGTCATTCCCATGTCCTATATCTCCCGTCTTTGCTGAATACACATCCCAAATATACAAACTCATTTACTTGCTCGAACAATTCCCCTTCTATTCTTATTTCACATATCGTTTTACCTTCTTATCTTTTAAAAGCCATACTTTCTTCTCTCTTGCATTCACTTTTATTCCCATTTCTTTTAATGACCTGTTCATCATTGTAACCATTATTTGCAATTCGGCCGCCGACGACGCAAATATGACTTGATCACCGGCGTACAAAGGGCATTTCACGGTTAACTCACCCATTCTTAACCCGCATTCTTCAACTTTCAAATTTTCCAAACAACTGTCCATATATAGGTTAAACAGCCACGGGGAAGCCACACAGCGCTGTCTGTCACCTTTATGAATGCCAAACCAGTCCGAATAGGCCCCGTTGATGTTAACACAAGTACTCGAGTCCCTAATAATATAAAGAACTTTAATGCCTGTATCAACCCACCCAACCAAGCCCAACCTAAACGAGTTCAACGTTTGCCATAACACATCCCTGTTCACTCTGTCATAAGCCTTTTCCAAGTCCATGAACGCACAAAATACTTTTTGGTTCTTGGCCAAAAACTTCCACGCCATCATGCGCATGGAAAAAACTTGATCTGTACATCCCATTCCCTTTCTAAATCCTGCTTGCACATCCCAAATTTTCTTTCGTAACTCTTTCAATAAATACCTTAGCATACAGTTTTAGCACAATGCTAGAAAGACTGATCCCACGGTAGTTTTTACAGTCCCGCTGCGACCCTTTTCCCTTGTATATTAGGACTATCACGGCTTTACACTAGTCTCCTGGTACCCGCTTCAATTCCTAACATAAATTAAACAAGGTGTACAGCAGGCTTGCCTCCACTTCCACTCCAGGCCTTAGTATTTTGAGTGAAACTCCATCATATCCGGATTCCTTACCTACTTTTATGCTTTTTATTGCTTTCATTATTTCGTCTATATTTATCTCCCTATCTCTTTACTCTTCTATAGAATTGCTATTTAATTTAGTTCAAACGTCATCTCCTCACTCATAAACAGTATTTTAAGAAATATGCCTTTCTCTTTAGACTCAACAATCCATCGTTCAGAATACAGTTGTTCTCTTCTCGTATAATATTCAATCTAGGCTGCTTTGAATGTCCCTTGGTACTTCTTACAACTTTCCAGAACATTTTAATATTTGCCTGGAAGTTATCCGATATTCTTCTATCCCTCTGATCCATTCTTTTTTGCTTTTCCTTTCAACTATTTCTTTTACTCTCTTATTTAGACGTCTAAACTCTGCCTTTTTTTATACGTATTCAAACCGCCAGAATTATCAGCTTTGGTTGCTAGTAAATCTAGACATGCTCTTTTCTTCCATCCGTACCTCATCATTCCACAATAACGTTTTATCTTTTCTTTCATTTGTTTTCTTACTAACACCACATACTTCGGTAGTTGCATCTACTAAACCTTTTTCAACATTATGCCATACATTCTCTAAGTCTAATTCATTCATACACAATTCATCCAGACCACTTATATTTTCTCTCAGTCTACATTTGTACTTTTCTTACACATCTTCATCTTGTAACCTCTCTATTCTTATACGCTGTAACGTAGTGGTAGACTTATACGTGGGTATGGATATACAGATATCCGATGCCGTATACGTCTGAATAGACCATCAATTCGCTATAAGACCAAGTAATGATCCGTCCCTACGTTGGACCCCCATCTATCATGCTTCCCCGTGGCTGTTCAACCTATATATAGACAGTTGTTTGGAAAATTTGAAAGTTGAAGAATGCGGGTTAAGAATGGGTGAGTTAACCGTGAAATGCCCTTTGTACGTCGATGATCAAGTCATATTTGCGTCGTCGGCGGCCGAATTGCAAATAATGGTTACAATGATGAACAGGTCATTAAAAGAAACGGGAATAAAAGTGAATGCAAGAGAGAAGAAAGTATGGCTTTTAAAAGATAAGAAGGTAAAACGATATGTGAAATAAGAATAGAAGGGCAATTGCTCGAGCAAGTAAGTGAGTTTGTGTATTTGGGATGTGAATTCAGCAAAGACGGGAGATATGATAAGGACATGGGAATGACGTGTGTCAAAAAAGGTACATATGGCCAGTCACAGTACCGTGTTTGTCCCTATTTTAACGTATTTTAGTGAAAGTTGAATGTGGTAAAAGAAGCACGTGAGTAGTATAAATGCAGTAGGAAATGCGGAAAGTGTGATAAAACAAGACAAAAAGTTCAGAAGTGCAGTGTTGGGTCGGTTAAGATGTTAAACACGATTCTCCCTTTACCTCCCTTGGAAAACTTATTTATTTATTTATTTATTTATTTAATATTCTTTATTGCACACCATATATAAAAAAAATTACTAATTATATATACAAAAGAAGTATGCAATGGGCGGTCTTATTGCTGATAGCAATTTCTTCCAGACAACCAGTGAATGGACAGGATTACACAAAAATTACAAGGGTAGGGCACA